AAAGTAATCGTTGGGTGTACTTCTATGGATTACCTTTTGGAGTCAAAACATTTCAAGATGGCTGCCACAGCCAAGAAACCTAAAACACAAAAATGGGTATAACTCAGTTTTACAAATATTAAGTGAAATTTGTTGTGGTAGTAGCTGTGAGTCATCCACAACACTTACTTTAATGGAGTTCTCAGAAAGATGCTGCTGAAAATTCTCAGTCATCCAGGTCACAATAAATCCAAAAACATTCAAGACAAAAACAACTGGACTTTATTTGTAACAGAAGACGTTTTGCTTCTCATCCGAGAAGCTTTCTCAATTCAACGAGCAGAGCGTGTGGGGTTCAGGTTATAAAGCTGAGATAAGATGCACATGCATATGCAGATTGATCTATCACACCTCACAGTAGGGGGTTGTTAAGGTCTTTGTTAATCTAATTCACAGATGAGGCCCCTCTGGTCCCATCAAGGAGTCCTCAGAAAGAAATCACTGAATGTACACCAACGACTGATTAACCATTACAGTCAATTCAATTTAAAATGGCCGTCCCACCTAATCAACATTAGCTAACACAAAAACGGCTGTAGCTCAGTGTCAGGGACGTTTTGGTCAAAGGTTATGGATGTTTTTTATTATTATGGCTGAGAACATTCTTCCTCTGCCCTGAGAACAAGGAGCCCAAAACAAGCCGAAACCGTCTCACAAGACACTATTTCTGCCCATGAACCATATGTTTGGCTAGACGAAGTGCACAGTGTAAGAAAGCTGCAGCTGGCTTCAAGGACACCCCCTGAACTCTGTGAGCTTGTCTGAGCCGATAACGCAACTCAGGGCTTTTTTTCTGTGACTGGTTTTCACGAGTATACATCTATGTACTAACTTACACATAAGCTTAAGTGAGGAATACAGTATTTGGAGAGATTTGTATTTCAGTAAGGGCTTTGCCTTATTCTAAAAATTACAACAATATTTAATATTTTAAATATACAATATTTATTCATAATTTTGTATGTAAATATTTTATCAGTGTCCCCATCTGATTTTTAGATCTTAATTTACTTTTAAAAATTTAAGTGGCCCTTTAAGGCAAACGTTTGTTTCCCCACAGTTACTTATTTCATCAAATATAAAGTTGTTAAAACTTTTTACGTGAACTAACGTTTTCCAAATATCAAAACAGAAATGACAAAAAAGTTAAAATTCCATTATTTAATATTATTATTATTACAACACAAAGAACATTTTTTCCTTCCTTCCCACATAAACAGACTAATATACATGAAATTTTAACTTTGAAAACAAGAATGGAAATATTTCATGAGTTTTCATCAGTCATCAGTTTTTATTTCAGTGCATTAAGCGGCACCATGATTATACTGTAAAGATCATCTTTACAGCCAAATGTTGATTTTAACTCTTGTTTTTATATGATGCTTCAAGTGCAGACCATGAGACGAGGAGCTACAAAGTAAGAAGCTGGATATAATTAAAATGTCCTTTCATATCCAAATATTTTTCCAATTCAACCTGCAAACAAACTGACCTGTGACGGGGACAAATACAAAAAGGATGAGCTCATTTTTCTGAATGCAAGATTTGATGCAAACCTAAAACGTTATTTTTCATTCAGCACAGCTCGCATCGTGACGCGGGGCGGTTCCCTGCAGACTCTACAGGTTTGTCGGGGTAGAGGGATCAGGGAATTAAATTAAATACTCACTGATCCCAACAAGACTGCGTGTACTGTTTGGAAAATTATTCAATAAACCCCTAAATATATAAAGTACTGTATTAGGAAGTGGTTAAAAAGGTATAAGAAAATCAGTCACACGAGGTTTACAACAGCTTAGTGTAAAATACATTTTTAAGTGTTGTTTTTTTGTTTGCATGTGGTTGATATAAAGAGATTTGCTCAATCCTCACTTAAAAATTAAATGTAAATTTGCTTGTTTCCAGTCAGGCACCAAATCTAAATACAGCACCAAGGTACAATTTGATGGTCCCTGTAAGAAAAGGAGCTCGTTTCCACCAGTTTTTCTCTAATTGGGTGTCCTTGTTGCAGAAGACGAGGAGCGTTACACATCAGATGTAAAATAAAAAGCTGAAACGCAGAAGAAATTTCACATAAGTGTAAATAAATTTGTTTATGACATCAAATCAAACATATTCTTTTGTTAAACTGATTTGGGAAAACTGCCATTGAAACACTGATGTGGAAGAAATGACTCAACTATTATTTTTGCTTCTCGACTATTTCTAAGTAGTAAAAATGTTTCATTATCACTTTTTTTTTAAATGACTAAACATTCAAGATAAATTATCTTTGATACAAAACCAGCTCCGTCTCTGGCTTTTCAATAATTTTTGATTTTCTATTCCCCCCCCCCCCCCCCCCCCCCAACATAACCCTTATTGGTGCTTATAAAATCAAGACTAGAACGGGCGCAACTTTAACAAAAGGCATTTTATTCAAATGTCTTCAAATCACTCTGAAACGTATATTTTAACAGCAATTTTTTTTTTAATAAATTTAGATTCAATCTAGTGCAGAATGGTGGACTCATGGAGGGAAGAGGAGCAGATGAAGTCTCGTGTTTCTCACCAGGCAGTTTGCAGTTGGAGGTTTTTCCATCTCAAGTTGCTCAAACTGCCCGTAAAGTTACGATTACGCATATTTTTGTTTATGAAAGCAATGCGTGGTTGTTTACGCATTAATTAATTTTTATCAGAACACTAAATTTGTCTCGGAGCAAAACTTCAGTGACTTTTAAGATGGATGTAGAACACTTTGCACTTTCAGCCAGAATTATTTCTCAACACATTTTTTTGTTTTTTTAAAAGTGCAAAACACAAAATATTCAAAATGCTTTTTCTTACAATGAAACTATCTGAAGACGTTTGAAGAACAACCCAGGTTGTGTTTACTTTTGATACAATCCTAAATAATAATATAAACATGCTAAATGATATTTATTTATTTGGTTTAATTACAAAGTACTTTGATACAAACCTGTATCACATTACAAAAATAATGATTCACCTTTTAAGAGTATATCAATAATACTGCATAATACTGAAGAAAAAGCCTTTTATAGTCATAAATTTGATCTACTAATGTGTAAAAGCCTAAGAATAAAAAGGTAAAAATACTAAAGAGCAGTCGTATTGGGTCAATGTTGCATCATAAATTAAAACGTTAGTAATGATGCAAAGATAAATAATGTGAATTTTTAGGTTCAAACAGCTGCCACCTGTTCATATTGTTAAAAAGTTAAATAATTCTTAGTGAGTTTATGACAAACACATCCAGGACACGACTGCCCTCAGCTGACACACGATGCGAGCTGCCATTTAAAGAAGCCAACAGAAACGTGCATCGATACAACTCGTCAAGAATCTATCCAACTTCAGCATGTAGCGAAACAAATACAGAACAGACATGATTCTGTCTGAAAATGATTTGAAATGTGGAAATATTTCTGTAGGACGAATTGGAATTGAAATCACTTTCATCATCGGGTCGGCAAGTCTTAAATGAAACGACGAACTTCAGATTTTTCTATTTTAAATACAGCTTTTGGTGCTCAAAGGTTTGGATTTTTAGCGTTAGTTTAGACATTCAATAAAGAGGAGTCAATAAGTTTCTGACTTAATGTCTTTAAATTTGAAATACATTTGTTATATAATTACTGGTACTTTTTTTTTAAAGCACGATTTTCCTTTTATGTATGACAACGATTACCATTGTGCTCTGAATAATAAAAATTTGACAACTATAAATTTCAAGTTTTTAATTAAAAACTAACACTTGTCACATCTTGACAAAAATATAAAACACCACACTTTGAAAAAAAATGTTTTGTACTGAAATCTTTAGTGTTTAACGAGCTTTTTTTCTTGTTGTTTCGACAAGTGGGGGAAAAAAACTAACACAAATAAACAAATTAGTTTGGGTTAAAAGGCTTAAATGTTTCTTTTTCTGGGAACGTACGGTCACAAGTTTTAATAAAACAAGCATCTGATATGTAGATTTGTCAACACCAGTTAAAAAAAGGTATTTGAGCAACCTCACACTGAACTTTGGTCTGAAACTACACAACAAATGTTTTAAATCCAAACTAAACAAAAACATTACTAATTGCCCATGACACCTCTATTACAGCAAATATTATACTTCAAAACAAAGAGGGAATGTAGTGCTGTTTTTTTTTTTCCAAGCTTCATAAAATTAACATTACAAAAAAAATTATAATTAAAAGAAACAACATTATCATGAATGAATTAGTTAGGGACCAAAATAAAAGTTAAAACTTGGATTAAGCTACGCATCAGCTGCTCAGTCCGTTCTTAAATAGCTCGTAAATTACAGGTAGACTTCAGACATGTTCGTGAACACACAGACAGCGTTTGGCACAAAATGTGGTTATATTTGTGGAATATTTTTCCAGGGCCGTGGAAGTTCTGATCCGACGAGTCGGCAAACGAACGTTAGCTTAAACCGCCTGGTAAGATTTAGGAAATAAACAGCTGCGCTTAAACACAAATGCATTAATCACTAAAAACCCAGCAGATTATTTAGGATCTCTCCAAGTGTCCCCCGCTTTCAGAGGAACGCTGTACCCGACAAACAATTTAATCCTTCAAAATCAGAAACTGACCAGAGTTTGTTTCCTTTGTTGCATCCAATTACAGCAGCAGCATTGCAACACATCTGCTGCACGAATCTTAAAACCTACAGCGCAGCCTATTGATACCTTCAAGCAGAAAAGGCATCTGTCGTGCAGATCTGCGCTCCTGTTGCCTCACAGTACCATCACAGACTCCCACTGCGGCTAGCTGCTGCACTTTGCTTATTTAGGTTATCATTTGATGTAAATTACTTTTCTGAAAACAAAAAAACGCCACTCAGCTTTCAGCTTGTACTCCTGAACTCTATGGGTAGTGTGTGTGTGTGTGTGTGTGTGTGTGTGTGTGTGTGTGTGTGTGTG